TACAGCGGTGTACCTACACATAATTAATGCGTGCTTTAACAATAAGGTGCCAGACAAATAGGGATCATTATAATCATTATTCATATTTACCATTATAGACTGCCATATTACTGGCTACAAAAAAACCATAATATTGTGTACCTACAATGTGCTATTTGCATTGCGTGTATAAAATATAAATAAGCAAAATCGCACTTCATCATTATTGTTGTTATTACTAGTACCTAAACAAGATGACGTATCTACGCCATGTAATAATTATATGGGTACCTATAAAAATAAACGAAACAAGAATTTTTTATAAATGATGATACCTAGGTACATAATATAATAGTTGCACGGTCCATACAAGAAAATAATATAATAAATTATTGCTGTAATTATCGTATGTTTTCTGTAGATAGGTACGTCACACAATAATAATTAACAAGCGATAATTATATTACCTATGTTATAATACATTGTAGTCCCTAATAAAACTGATGATTGATTTATAGGTATAGATCAACTTGTTGATACTATTTTATACACTTCTTATTTGCTTCGTATCGCATAATATAACATATAAAGTAATTACAAGTCATTATTATAATATATGATATTCCAAACCATAACGTAAAATATTAGCTTAAGATTTTATATTGCGTATCACGCTGCAGTTATTAATTTATATTATTCTATAATATACTACCTATAATGAATCATTTAGAAAAGTACCTGTACTTAAGCATGCATTATAAGTTGATTAATTTATGTACTGATTTGTGTGTTCTTATATTATATACATAGTTCAAGACGTTTAAGTGGCATATTATACATAATACCTATACTGTATTATAATATGTAGGTGTATAGTGCAAGTGCACCATGTTCTACGTATAGTAACATACAATTACTTGATTAGTACGTAATAAATTATAATATGTAATAATATAATAAATACGAATAGTGATTAAATATTTAATATATTTAAGGATAATATCATATTGATAATAAGTACATATTTTTCATTTTCTATATTAAAACATTTAAAACGTAGAAGGTATAGGTAGGTATACGTACAATACGCATGATTCATGGTAGACAAATACAACAGGTAATTCGTATACACTTGCATAATACATTAAGTATACGATTTTAACTTGGTTTCGCCGTTCCGAGAAATCCAATAACGATAATGATAGTTTAAGTATTTACCGTCGGGTGTTAGTGTTACTTTTTAACACTTTTGGTTGTACTAAAAAAAAGTCAACATTCTCGAACACGTTGTTGTTAACCATCACGCAACGATGTCCGTCAAAAATATAACTACTTAATATACAATACACATAATATTATAGGTAGGCACTATGTATATGCATTAAGTATACGACTAAATATTTTATATTTATATACAGTATATATTATAATATAGGTATACGAAATACGTTTAATAATATGCAATAATATAATAGTATAATAATATATAATGGGCATCTCTGAATACAACTATACAACATTAAACAATGCTGTTCGCAATTCGATAATTATGGTAGAAATAAAAATGGTGGTTCGCTTGTGTTCATATTACATATTTACATACATCTATATTATAATATCATGTATTAAATAATAGTTAGGTACGTCCAAAAACGATCATTTTGTATACATTAAGAAGGACTTGCTCTAATTTCCCATCAATTATCACATAATATACAAAAGAGAATCTTGAAGTTCTAGCAGGGAATTTTTTTTAGGAAAGTGGGCCGATTGAAACCGATTGTAAAATTGTACAAACTTTTTGGTATAATATATTGTACTAATAGTTGAGGTAAAAACCAGCGAGAGAGAAAAGCGTCATCGTTTTTATTATGGAAATGTGGGGAAATTATATATAACTATTAGGTATATAATATTATAGATAAATATCATAATGGTTGGGCGTAACAAAACGACAAAACTATCGAACAATGTAATGTTATAAAATAATATCCAATTGTGTATTTCATTTATTTATATGTTTAAAATTCACTAAACATATAATATATAATATACATACAGTCGTACCTATGAATACAAATACCATACATATTGCAGAGCTGTGGGCCATTGAGCATAATATATAAATTTCTAATATATATAATATATAGGTACTCAGTGTTATACCTATGTATATATAATATTTATTGATGTTATAATTTTATAACTAAAGAGTGTTGGGTTCTCGTATATCATATATTTAGCTGGCTTATCCATCTGGCCACCTACCACTATTATATTATATAGCGACTCATGAAGTCGCGCTCATTTTTTCAATGGCCTCGTCGTCGTCGGTCACGGACATCATGCTCGTTATACTGCAGTTATTGCAGTCAAATATATTAATACTATATTACATTTTAAGAGGGTATAAAAAATACCAAAACGAAACGGTTATTGAAATCGCGTTGGGGGTTTTATTTTCCACGGCGGTCGTCGCATATTATTATGACGGTATGGGCACCTATATAATATTATTCTATAATAGACTTCACCACCGCACACGAATCGTACCTGGTATACGGTACATGCGATATCTACAGGTATATATAGTATATGGGTAGACGAGCACCGAAGTCTCTTCGCAGCCGTATTGTGCGTATGGCTCGTAAAAAAAAAAAAAACCATCGACGACGACGATATTACGACCGTGCCGAGTGCGCGTGACGCGGTCCGTGCGAAAAGCTATTATTGAAGAATTAACCGATGGCGGCCGCGGCGTGTCTCCGTCGCCAACACATGAGAGCGATACTGTACGACAGCGTTGCGAATCAGAGGAGATGCGATAATGTATCTGTATGTATTTTATGTATGCGCGTCTGATGTTTTTTGTGTAGGTACCTAAGTATTAATGTTGTGTTAGACGCATTATATGATTGTATCGTCGTTTAAAAACCATCGGAACCATAATATTATGATGTTATATTCTGGCCGATCTTGGTTTTGTCAACTTCTCGTCTGAAAGAGGAGCAAAACTTCAGCACTATTTCGTAGCGAGGGATTTTTAAAGTCGCTGCTGCAGGGCTTCTGAACGATTATATTATTATTCGCGACTCTAAAACGTATAGATCCCTATTATATATATATATACCTATACCTACAGCGGTTTTTTTTATGAAGTCATTATATCAACAAAAACTAAATTCATAAAAAAAACCACAGATAATACTATAATATGAATATTATTCATGAAAAATTAATATGATTTGAATAAAATGTACCTAGATAAGAAAATGCGTCATCTAAGCCAACAGCGATACATAAATGTCAGAATAATAATTTTTTATCTATACAATTATCTAGTTAAGCCTCAACGCTGTATATTATAATAACTAGAGCTTCCAAACGTTATAACTTATAATAACGTTTTGATTATAACGTTATATTTGACAAAAAATTATTGACATTTGTAAACTTAATTATAATGGAAAATGATAATCAAAAATAATTAAATACCGCAAAATGAAACATAACGATTAACAAAATATAATATATATAGTTAATCAGAACATAATTTAAGATACGTAATTTATAGAATTTCATTGAACGAAAAGCAAATAATTAAACAAAATAATTCAAAATCCATTTACTTAAAAGTTATATAAGTTATATTGGTTTCGTGGAAATATTTATTTCATGCATACAGAGATTAGAATTGATTATTTTATATTCAGTATCCGGGCCATTACCTGCCAGCATTAGTTATTATTAATAAATTTAAAAGGTATTAACACTATTCTAAAAAACGAACCGAATTTGTATACGTTTTAATTCTGAATAACGATAAACTCAAAACTTGTTTAAATTGTAAATAACATAAAACGGAATTTTTTTCATAATATGCAAGCCCTGATAATTAAACTGTTTCACTCATCTTCAACACACGAATCCGTACATATAAATATAGGTACATACAAAATAAATAAATTCAAATTTGTTAAGGTTGGTCATGATGGTTCTCAGGACGTATACGCTGCCAATATTTCAGTAAAAGATTATCGAAACGAAATGGTAGCAACCAAGCATTTACTAATTACTCAATATAATATTTAATATTCATAAATCATCATGCGTAACGGGATTTGCAGAGTAGTGAGCTTAATAAAACATGATGTGACTTATTAGGTTTTAAAATACTATAAAATCGATTGTCGTGTTTATTGTCCTCTTTAAAACGTTGTATTATAAATATAATACCTATACCTATATATTTCACTATTTTTTTGTTCAGAAAACCGTTTAATAATCGTTTTATTGCGTTGTCTATATTATTATGTAGGAATGATCGGTACATCCTAATAATATCATTGACCATCGTTGTTATATGTTTTTAACATAGAGTACAGTCCATTCTAAGTTATATTGTAGGTAGTACGTCTTATTTCCTATGCATCATTTCAACACGAAAACAAACAGTGATTGTGACTCGTGAGTTATTTATACAACCTCAGCACTCCCGGCATATTTAGAGGTCTATAATCTATATCATATTATAATATAGTTGACCCTTTGCAGTGTGTCAGTGTCCGAACATTGTATAGGATAACTAAAGGTACTATAGTGTTTACATACAATATAATACCATTTTCTCGGTATTACGGTCGCACCGCGGATTAACAACTGTATCAATATTATCAAAAGGTTTTAATTTTTTTTCCCCCCGTCTCGAATCAATTAACGTGATGGCGAAAAAACAAACGAAACCTAGACGGCTAGACATTTAATATCACATACAAAACATAATATTATACATACACACACACACACACACACTCATAATATAATATATAATATAAAATCTCATAACGAGGTACCTATGTATTATTATTATTATTATTTTTATTATACACGGCCGAAAGAGGCGTACCTGCAGCGTCGTTGCGTGCGTGCGTTCGCCTTCGAAACGAGCCTCGTTCTCCCTTCCACGGTCGCCCAATAACCGCTCCGGCGGCCGCCAATAACCTGTGGTAACCGTTTTCGTCTCACGTCGTCCCGTCTCTGTCGCGCGCGCGCCGACGATACCGCGGCCCGGTGACGGTGACGCGCGGCGGTGGGCGGCCGGAGGGCGGGGCTTGGCCGGGGAATCCTCCTCCTCCTCGTCGGACGGAGATGATTTTTTTTCCTGGTCCACGAGGACGGCGGTTTTCCTGCGGCTCGAGATGTCGCGCATTCACGATCAGTCGTTCTGCTCCGCCGGACTGGGGTGCGTTCATCTCTGATTGTATCACCGCGCAGTGTTGTATAATTTTTACTCGTGTGGTTCCAGTCGTTCGCAGAATCCCGGGAAAACTCTTTTCTCCGAGCCGTTCCTCGTGTTCATATACTATTATAAGACTGCTGAAGTCGTCATTCGAATTTTTCGTTTTCATTTTCGGTGATTTTTTTCTCCTTTCGTCTCCGTGTCTCATTAGCCACCCCCGAGAGGAGGGCACCCAGACACCCGTAAAACGGTATTCGTGTCGTCGTCGTTCGCCGGTCCCAATCGCTTCGTGCTGACGGGACATTTTTTCACCCCATACGTGTGGCACCTAGACATGTGACATGAAGGCCACAATTGTAATCAAAACAATTGTACTGATGACCCTTGTGGTCATCGAGATCTCCAGAGCTTACGGCAAACACCGCGAAGGAAAATACAAAGGCACCCACTGGTGGTAAGTTATTTTGTTATTAGTCATTTATAATAATTATTGTTCTAGATACGTATATTTGCGTTATTTATTTTCTTTTTCACGTTTATATACGTATCTTACTTTAATTATATCATTATTTATTTATTTATGTACGATCAAGCGTGGTTGGTCATAATATTATGATAATAATATACTATACTAATTTATTATAATAATATATACTAATAGTGTGTCTAACAGTTTTATAGAATTAGAAAAAGAATTCGTCTTAAAAATATAATTTTGATAGTATTTTATTTATTTTTATTATTTGTTAACTCGTATAGCGAAGTTATAACTCATACATATAGTATTTAAATAATAATATTGTACTTAACTTAATTCTAATCAAAATAAAATCAAAATTATATTTGTAAGATTTATATTTGTTTAATAAGTTAGATTAGAACATACTTATCTCAAAACTCAAATGAAATATATATTTTAAGAGGGTATAAAAAATACCAAAACGAAACGGTTATTGAAATCACGTTGGGGGTTTTATTTTCCACTGCGGCCGTCGCATATTATTATGACGGTATAGACTCCTATAATATTATTATATAATAGACTTTACCACCTCACACGAATGTACCTGGTATACGGTATATAAGATATCTATAGGTATATAATATACTAGTACAAAATATAGTTGATAAATTATCAGAAATTAGGTAAAACTCAATAATATTGTAATGGACTAAGTAAAAAAAGTGATATAATATTTTAAAATTCAAAATTATTGGGGTTCTGGTTAGAAACTATTTTAATAATATTGAATTATTGTAAAATATTATTTAGTTATATATAATTATTCTACAAAAAATATATAAAATTATAAACAAAATTAATATAATAATATAATCGACATAGGTATATATATACAATAATACTAGCTGATCCCGTGCATTTCGTTGCAAATTTGTTACTATTTTTAAGAGTAATGATAAATCATTGTTTATTTTCATTAAAAATTCGTTTTAGCGAAGTTGTAACTAAGCTTCCTTAGTTGATATTCTTACTATTGTTTAATTGTGTTATTCACAGTATCTTTCATAATGACAAAAACAATCGAATAATGATAATGATAATGACATATAACATAGGTATATAACTATAATACCAATGACAATAGTACCAATGATCTTTTTCACACTCTCAAAAACTGTTTTATGTATAAACTAAAAACATTTTTCTTTTTTAAATATCCTTATAATCATAAAACAATAAACTCAATGCTCCCTTAGAAATTAAGAACAACTTAAACTCGTGTAAGTCTGTGCATAAAACCAAATACGTATTAAACTCTATTCCTGATCTAAATTAAGTATTATTTCATTTAACTATGTATAAAATATAATGATTTTGAATTCAACTAATTTGTGCTTACTGATAACTATTCTTTACTAATATATTTTTTGAGTAGTACAATTTGAAAGATAATAGTACATTAGTTCTGATTTAATTGAAATGAAATATATTAATGAGGTTCATTTAATTATATGCAATATAATTATAATACAACTGTTAATCTGTATGTTCAAATAATTAAACGTGCATCTAAATGTGTAGTATATCTATAACAAATATAATCATATAAAATTAAATGAATCATCAAAAATTTAACGTAACTTATTTTATTTACGATTAAATTAAATTGTAACCATCTTAAAATGTCAACCAATTATTATTCTATAAATCGTTTTTATATAGATTATGCCTACAGGATACTACTGATTTCAAACATTATATTATATATTTTGTTAATTTCCTTTTAAACTATTATATATTATTACATACATATTATTCTGCTTTAAAATATTTAAAGTACTAATATTAATAAGCTCCGAAATGTTAGAAAAAATTCTCAATATTTCTTTAATATTTTTTCAACTCGTTAACATAAGAATAATACCTTTATTTGTTTCATATCTAAATTCTGGGAACAAAAAAAAAACAATATCTAGTAGGCGTTGTGTAAACGATGTAAAAGAAAAACGAAATCTAAAAAGAATAAAAAGAAAAAACAAATCTTTTTTATTCACATAACACAAACAGCAGAAGATCCAGCATATTCTGTATAGAAACGGTCTATAGAAAATAATATTATTATATGTATACCCTTTTGAGAAATTTATACCGTTCGATTCATTCAAACAATTCAAATATAATCTTATTGGGTAGGTACCTAGTACAACAAGATGTATTATTTTATTATAGTGTGCGAGTCAACGATTATGACATAGAAACCGGAAGGAATGTCAACACGATCTCAGCGTGAATTATTCGATAATGTTACCTAGGCGTTTTTTTTCTTAAGCATTTGTTTATTTTTATCTATCAGACATTAAAAGGGGTGGACAGGGTCAATTGAGAAGAACCCTAATAAGAGACACGGGGGAACCACCCAAAGTGGCCGTCTGTATGTCTAGATGGCTATCTGAGACTATTGTGAATAGTTGACAGACATGTATACACGCACGCGTTTCAATAGGAGGGCATCATCGAACCCCCCTATTAATTTCAATTTGCACGGATAATGGGGGAAAAAAACCGCTCCCAAAAACGAGAGCAATATATGTATATATAAATATGTAGAGGCTTTTACGTTATCATTTTTTTCAAATCTTTCAAACCATTGTACAGATATATGAATGAAAGAATACAAAACGCATATTTTGATGAAACATTTTTCTGTCCCCCAGTCCGAACAATATGCTTCGTTTTCCGGCATATATTTTTTTTTTATCTAAGGTAGATAATTAAGTTCTTAAAAATAAAAAAAATAAAACAAATATCCGCTGAACAATTGATGATGTCATACACAAATGCACACAAACGCGCGTGCGATATAAACCATATATTATACTGTGTGTAATGTGTATATATTATTTGAATAGCTATAAACGTTTAAAAAATATAATAGTATAGGTACTTATAATTTACATTTTAGTTTTAGTATATTAAACATATCTAATTCAAACTTGAGACGCACTTTTTATTCTTTCCTTTCGCTATTTTATAACAATATAATATAATATTGTATACACACATAGTTATAAATATATACAGAAACATAATGGTTTGTTCCTATACACTTGAAAAAAAAACGATCGAGATGTCTGTATAAAAATAATTGTTTAGTCATTAATATTATACTAAATTATACAATAAATGTAAACAAATTAGGACGTACGTTGCGAGCATCATTGAGAATTATTTGTATTATTACGATTTAATTATATGTGTTTTTTTTTCCTCTGGATTAAATACCGATATTGATGCACGTGATACAATTCAGGATGATTTTATTATTATTATTTTTTAACTCTCGATAGTTTAAGTCACTGGACTATAATAATAATAATAGTGATAATAATATGACAAGTACTCGAGCGATATTCTCTCACGATGACACTCGTAACTCGTAAGTCAAAACGGTTATAGGTTTTTTTTTTCTCAAGTCCATCAATCTGTTCGGACGTGTTTCCGTCACACAAATATATATCAACGCCGCCCTCCGTCGACGTCTTCGATAATATATGACTGGTGCACTCGAAATTACGTGTCTTCGCCGCATCCAGTACACGTGTATATTATATTATACAGCGGCCAACAGTAACTATAAGTGGTAGTAATTGTAGGTAGTAGTCGTCATAATAATAACGATGATAATAATAATCATAAAGCTGAGGTAAAAATCATTTAGACCGCTAATTACCTACCGCGGTACACCTCTACACCACGGGACGAAAAATGTTGTTTGTTAATTAATTTCCGGTTTAGGAGGTCAGGTCCAGGCGGTAGGTAGTAGAGTTATTATTATTATTTTTTTTCAAATTTGTAACCAATAATAATAACACTACGATGTACAATACACGTGTAGGTATATATATATAGGTGCTGCATGCATCGTGTTCGTTTCGAAATACGTTCGCGCGCTGCACTAATGACACTATCTATTATAATATGTTATATTATATGCGCGGCAGTGTTGGTGGCGGAGGAGGAATACCATTTCGAGTGGTCTACCGTCTACAACACACGTGAAGTATAAAAATGCTCTTGTCTCCGACGAAAATCCATTTTTTTCCGCGTAGGTATAAAATTCCATAATTTCCACGACATTATTTTCTTCTCTCAATGGCATGCGCTAGTGTATTATAATAATAATACGACATTTTACGACTTTTCACACGTAGCCCATCCAGTACCTATGCGAATATAATATACCTATAATATTATATTATAGTCAAATTTAAAAACGTGATAAACATAATGTATACTATATTATAAAATTACCTACTGTTTCTTTTAACTCGTAATAATAAACGGAATCTGTGCCGTGTTTTCACAATAGATTCCATCCCATTAGTTGTAAAAAATAATTAATAATAATATTATATATGCATATGGGCTAGTTTACCAATTGCTGTTAAAATTACTCGATTATTTTCAGGATTGATACACCTACCAATTGCGCCAGATGTCACTCAAATTATTCACAGTTGTGTATTTTGGCAATAGTGTAATACTAATGTTTCATAAAAATGCGTATACATATACTTCATAGAATATTGGAATATTTTAGAATATTTAAGAATATTTATTTTCGAAAACAAAAAAAAATGTTACCAGTCACTCAGCAATCAATTTATCAATGATCAATTAGATATAAGCTTTTAATTTCAATTTTATAATATACATAGTTTATGTATGATGTATGATAAAGAAATTAGATAGGACAAAAACATATTTTTCATACCAAATTTCACAAATTTTGACTAGGCTAAACTGCAGGTTCATTATTATGTAATATTATACATGCGATGATCTCGGCAATGCGACACTTTTCGTTCTTGTGATTTCGCCTTTTGACTATAAGCTGTTATAATAGGTATTTATATGAAACATTATACACTTTTGCTGAATGTATTTTATTTTTAACAGTATTTCGAACAGTTATCTCGTATGAAAATTAGCTCTTCTGGTATGCGATACCAAAAGTTCGGTATCCCCACTACCCTTGTTTGAATGTTGGGGATGGTCGAAGTAGGATAGGGTGAAGTATCTCTATTTCTAGAAACATTTTACCGTATCCCTTCTAATTATATACCGTAATCAATGAGACATTTTAATCATCATGTACGAATATTTTTTTTCACACTTTGGCACTTAGGCATCTCTTCTTACTTTTTTTCCTATTCGATCAATGGTCGATGGCACTCGCTTGATTGCTCATATTAAAACACCCAAGCCATCGAGGACCGTCTTGTAGTCATGTTGTGGCCACGGATTACATACCGAGACACTGTATAATAATGAGTAGGCAATACTAGGCGTATAATACTGTATATATATATAGACAGGGGATTCGCGACGTCTGCGGGCTGGCTGCAAACGCGTATATATATGCATTATGTATAGTAATGATGGTCAACAGATAGTTCGTCTCATTTGTGACCGCCACTGCAACCGCACAGGTATAATGCCAGTCTTCTGCCCATTGTTATCGTCGTCGTTCTCCTCTTGTGATGTTACAGCTCCACGCGTCGACGTCCGATGACTTTAGACGGCGGCGGCTGCGGTCCCGAGGCTGATCGAACACGACCGTCGCCGGCCGATTTGTCCGTTATCGGATCCATCGGATCGAAACCAGCCGTATATAGTCTTTTGTGCCCCGCGCGCGCGCGTGGTACTACAATGAAGTCGTATCGCGTCGTGTCTTGTGCGCGCGTTCAAACTAAGCGTCGCGTTAGTGAACCGTGTAAGTTACTCGTGTGTTTGTAGTATATATATATAGTATGTGTGTGTGTGTGTTTGTGTATAAAGAAAATAAGAATCGGATGATTAACGACATTAGGAGACCTAAAATATAAAAATGTCGACCGGAATGAAGCCAGAACGCGAATATTCCCACGACAACCGATGATCAAGGGAGATAGGCTAGAGCTGAGCTAGTGATACTATAAATTACACTACTCACACATATAAACGCGAGCGCGCGCACGCGCATGATGCATTCTCTCCCTCTCTCTCTCTCTCTCTCTCTCCTCTACCTCTCTCGTACTCACAAAAACAAAACAAATTTATAAGGTAAAAAAACGAAACGAAACAAAAAGAAAGAAGGAAAGAGAAAATAAAACGAGTTATGAATATAATACACTTACCTACTGCGCCTGCCCGCCTTGCCTACATATACCTTTATACATTTTTTTTTCCCCGTTTATATAAACAAGTAAATGTCTACCGGAACATTCCTCACTGATTTATCTTTTATCTTGCACGTCAACAGTTAACGTTTTACGATAATCACCTTTTAAAGTTACTAAATTACACGCGCGCTCCGCTGCTGCAGTTGTCACGTCGGCCGAGCGCGATGACTACGCGACTCAAAAACTCAGTGAATAATTTGTCCGGCGAGAGTCTTACCCCCTCGCACCTACCCATACTGTTACCGGGGGCTTTTATTGCCGCTATTTCCGAACGAGCAGACAGGTCGTGCAGTGGACGAGCATATTAGGGGCGATAAATGTGATTTGGTATGTGACAACGTGCGATTCGTGTATTTCTGGAATTAAGTATGATATTATAATAATTCTCGTGCCTGATTTTTGAACGCGGGCATAAACGGACGGCCCGTCGGATAACGCGCGCCACACTAAATCTTTTTGATGCACGCGGCTCATATAATAATAATAATAATAATAATAATATAATATTATACAATTTTATAGTTTTTTTTTTTTTTTGCACGTCTCGCGGTATAACGTAACACTATTTATTATACAAATAATAATACACGTTAGCAGAAAAAAAAGAAGTCTCGTCATCTCGAAAATTACAAGGCAAAAACCAACACACTATAATATATAATAATATAATCTTATATACCTGCAGCAACTCGCGTATTATTATGTTATAACTTATGTGTGTGTGTGTGTGTGTGTGTGTATGTATGTGTGTGTTTACACGTCGTTGTTGGTGTTGGTCATCGCGCCCGGGTAGTCCGATAATACTGTTGTACACATAATATGTATTATTTCTTTCTTTCCTCACATTTTTCTCTTTGCTCTCGACACTGCTGCTGCTGATGCTGCTGCCCATTCCTTCCCGCAGTCGGTCTTATACATTTATTTATAATATATATATATATATACACCGCCGATACGTCAACACGTTCAACAAATAATACATCCCTGTTTGTCCATTATGTGCTTAATTTCTTCATGTCCACACAGACGGCACAAGTGTGTGTGTGTTTATGAACACACAGACACACATACGTCGATCTCGAGTGCTTGGATCCATTGTCCAGGCACGTCGATTTCCCTTCACTCCCGTCTCGAGCACGTCCTATAGACGACGACGACGACGACGACACTTTGACAGTGGCGGCCGAGACACACTTCAGACCTATCGCTCGTATTGTGACTGTATACGTAAAGGAAACATCTCAATGCATAATATTGACCGTCGTCACGGCGTGGTCAAAAGACGAGTGTTTTTCGTGCGCTAAAATAATAAAATACGCCGAGCACATAACATTATCGTTATGAGATTGCAGAAGTGACGGTTTCTGACGTATTGTATTATGGGTAGGTACGCGTTTAGCGCCAACGCGAGACTAATCTCCCCCATCCTAGCTGGTATTTGCAATGACGTATGTATAGGAATGAATTTGGGGGGGGGGTATAAAAAAATAATATATTCAATTAATAATAATAGTGAATCACCAATCGCCATATTAAAATGATGTACCTACCAACAATACATTTTTATGGTTGTGGGGGGTGAACCCCTCCCCCCTATATACGCCACTGGGTATTTGATATAGAGCATAGAGGCGTTAGAAAAAAATTAATAATATATAATCCGGTATCCATGTGCACGGTGTAGATTGAATTTTTTTTTTCTTATATTTTTTTGCCGCGTAACAGTCAATTATTATGTTAAACGATTAGCGCATTGTCAATAAGCCTTAGGATCAGGTTAAACATTATCGTTGGTCAAATACACAAAACACAATAGTATACACATCCTAAATTGTATATAATAACTGTATAAACTGGTCGAATCACTGGCAGCACGTCTGTCACTAAAGTGATTCATCAAATTATTCGCATTCGCGTATGTCTGTCTGTCATGTCAGTCGCTTATTAATGCTAAAACCGTGGAAATGTAGAAAAAAAATAGTAAATCGATCGTTTATTGAGAACATAAAGGTGTAAAAGAAAATATAAATTATTTTTTATTCAGGTTATCTCTCACATTCAATTGAACAATACGCTTAATTGATAGATAATAAGTACAGACTGAAATGACCGCCTGGTAGAAGTATAGGATTACTTCGTTGTGATAGAATATAAAATGTAAAATATTATAGTATCCACGGCACGTCGGCACTCTATGGCCTATGCTATCTGACAACCCGACGTATTTGATACAATACACAACATTATAATTTTTTTTATTATTATTGAGTATTTAGGCTTCAACGGTCATTAACTTACAATTATATTCACATTAACATTTATAATTGATAATGATTATTTGCTTAGCTAAATTACTGTGCGGTATTTATGGTTAGAATTTTATTTTTCAGTTATTTATATTATAAGAATAATTATAGTATTATATTTAGGTAAACCACGATTGTTTAATAATAATACGTTTAATTTTTTTTTCGTCAACAGGGGAATTGCAAAAGCTGGCGAACCTAATAATTTGGCTCCTATGACCCCTGGCCTGATGCTCATGGACTCATCATCGTTAACGTTATTGCGCAATAAACAGAGGAGGATGATCCGCGAACATCCGGGAGTATTACAAGCGATCAGCAGAGGCGTCAATATGGCACTGCAAGAGTGTCAGCACCAGTTCCGGAACAGGCGTTGGAACTGTTCAACCAAGAACTTCTTGACTGGCAAAAACTTGTTTGGGAAAATTGTGGACAGAGGTAAACCATATTACTTATATAATATATTTTGAAATCAACTATTTTATTTTCACGAATAAAGCACAATTATTATTGTACTTCATAGTCTGTTAGATCACGATATTTTATAAAATATAACTCTATTATAACCAACCCGCATATTATATAATACAATATTATAATTTATTGTTCCATAAGTAAATGTTTTTTTTTTAAAAAATCATAAAACACAATATGAATCAACTTTCTCCGTGTATGTGTATATATGTATATATACAATGTACACAATGACGAATCGTTGAAGCCTGTCAAAAAACATTAAATCTCCATATCGACTTAATCGCGAATTAACACTACTACGTCATCAACGTTGGCGATGACATACAAGTTACAAAGCTTTTACCCAGGAAAATTGTTATACCAGTTATGCCCTGGGATTGGCATATGGCTGTACCTAATACAATGCGTATTGATTATTATATTATGATACCGTTAAATTCACGATAATTACGTTAAAAGCGCATTATACTTGTAAGTTATGCATTGTTTGCCTTCCGAATGTGGTACACAATTATATTATATCACATAATATTGTATTATTATAGTCTGTGTGGGGTGGTTTTCTACATAGGTACCACTATATTTTATACCTGCGTTCTTGCTCAATCGATAAAATTGTGATAATAATATATAAATCATCTTATTGTATATAATATACGAGATAATGGTATATATATTATATTATATTATCGAGACTTATTTACGATATTCGTGTTCTCCGTCGTGGACATAAACAATTCGACTGACGTAACAAGAGTGTTATTGTAGTACACTAGTACCTATACTATATATATATATATATATAAATATATTTTGTGCGCGTACGTGTATGCAGTATTATAATATTATTATGATGTAGGTATATAGGTACATATATAGGTAATATGATTTCGTGATTTGCAGTAACCAATAGTGTAAACATGAATAAACAAACACAAGCCACGAGCATAATAATTTGTGTTACGTTGATATTATGCGTGTAGTTATAGACGAAAAAAAAATCCAATAAAAAACAATTAATCGAATAAAAAATAATTCATGGACAACATTTATCGACACATATTATGCGTTGAGGCGCCTCGATCACATCAGTTACATGGTCAGTGTTATCGTTGGATCACGCACGTGCCATAGCCGTTTGCTGTATTCTGTATTATATTATAGTCCTATAGAAATGTAAAATAACGTTCTGGGACATTTACCTTATCGACGTAATGTTTTGTCCATGTATTTTTTTCAATTTCAATTTCAATCGATAAAATATAATTTGAAAATATTACATTCATTATTAGTAACACATCGGGTTCATCGAACAATTCCATCACTAATTCGTGCCATAAGATTGTATATTAATATGATATTATTGTGATAATTAAATCATTTTGTCCTAAATAGCATATTTCTACAATATTATAATAATATGCTGATTTGTTTATTTTACGATGCTATTAAGACTTAATTAATTGTTGAGCAAATAACGATCAATGAATATAATATATTAAACGACTAACCGATTATATAGTCATTATAAGTAACAAATTCGAAACACCGATTGATTTACATACTATCAATTTATTATTATAATAGCCTCGATAACACAACATCGACCTTTTAGTTCATTAATCAACATCGAGTCGTATGGAAAATAAATCTCGTCCTAATCTCAAACACTTTGGCACGTACTCGGCGCACGTATTATAATATACGACTTTATATATCTATAAAGACAACTCGCTATAATAATATACCTATCGTGGTCGGATAAAGTTTTTGAAATTTTTTTTCATTTCATTTTATGATATCTGTAGGTATTCTATATACGCGCATCATACACAGCATAATAATATACATAAAGGTACCTACATAAGATTTGACGACGATCCGGGGAAACGATAGTGTTATTATTTATTATATAATATATCGACGGTTATCGTCAATCTCATTTCGTACTCGTATACACGATCATTATTATATATTATTATACTCCTCTCGGCTTTCGAACAACTATATATATATATATATATACAATATGTATAATATTACCCACGAAACTTCCAGCGCTATAATATAACGTTATACGACTTTGGTTCGAAACATTATTATTATACCTATGTACGCTTGCAGTGTATATTATAATATACACGACGACGGGTCGTCCAATATCGTAAAAAAAATATTATTGTCAAACGCGTATTATATTATTATCATATTATACACATATTATACCGTGTGTATCCGACCCGTCGGGTGTCCGCGATATTTATGTACTCTGCTCCGCATCGCAGTAATATCTCGCTGTATTATATTACCCATACAATATTATAATAATAATAATAATAACATATTATAATATGCTCGTATTATTATATTATGTATATATGATATTATTATAGTGCAGTGCATAATATTATTATTATGTAGATAGGTATGCGTTCCCCTGCTTCGCGCCACCGTAGTACTGAAGTCACCGTCATGTAGGTATATATTACAATTTTTATTGGGCAGACCTACAGGCCGCTACTATACGCTGACGATAATATTATTATTATTATTATTATTATTATTATATGTAGGTATTATTGTTATTGCCGCCTCCGACGCCGTAGTCGTCTGTTTCGTTTCGTTTATTATTTAATATATAGGTACCTACATTTATATATCTTTTTTTTCCTACCCGAGTATCATTTCATTTCGGGCGTGATATGATTTTATCGCGAACGCGTACACGACCATGGTCGTCGTTGACGATCGCCGCCGTGTGACCGGGGTGGGAAAATCGAGAGGTAAGGACAAAAAACGTGTCTTTATCACGTCGCATCCGACTGGAAAATATAATAGTAATAATAATAATATTATTATTGTCGCTCGCGCCCGAGTTTGTGTGTGTGTGTGTGTGTGTGTGGCTTGACGACGTGTCCACCGCCTCGGGCATAAGTAAAGGTATATGTAGAGGTACTATAGGTATATAGTACTCGTTGCACGACAGTATATTATATTTTTAGTAGACGCGCAAGGGGGGAGGAGACAGCTCTGAGGGGAAAAAAAAGATTAAATTATGTAAACGAATCGTGTGAACCGCATGTAAAACGACGTCGTTACATACGGACGCCACGATATATATTTTAATAGACATTTTTTTTTCTTTCACGAAAAAATATAATAATAATATATAGGTACCTACCTATACCTGCCCCGCGCCATATTCCGGAAGATAAAAATTGCGTTCAAACGGGTTTAAGCGCGAAGAGTTTTTTCGCGTGATTCGGCGGCGACGACAATCAATTGTATTGAATATTATGTACACCGACTGGGGCAATAAATTCGAATTATCTGCCGTTCGGTGTTGTACGTGCTGACGGCGGCGCTGACATATTATTTCTGTATAATGCTATTATATCGCTGCACGAGGGGTACACGGGGGGATACTGTTAAATATTTACATAATGTTCGTTTTTTATATTTTTTTTCTTATTTGTTTACATCGTACAAACATTTGGCAGTGGAATAAAATACACTGTTTTAGATCCGAATCTCGCGTAATAATTAAAATCCGAATACCGCAAGGCATTTCGTTATTATTATTATTAAACAAATCGTTCGGATATTTGTCGGACAACGACGCCACGGTGTACACGTCCTATATACATATAGGTATACTTACATAGCGCACAGACAGTCGGACACACACACACACACACACACACACACACACACACACACACATACATACGAAAAGTATCTTATCAGATCCGTAAGAAAAGAGGTACGTTGTGGGATCCAGTCGAAATATTAAGTTCTAGGAGCTGTGAAAAATATGTATTTTTAAAAATTTAAAAATTTACACCATGCTATAATTATCATTATTTTACACTCAGAAAAACTTTTTGTTCCGATATATCTTTATCAGATCCAGTGTGTGTAAGAAAATTTTAGTATTTTATTAGATCCATATGTGTGTTTTCTTGTTTACTAAGTATCATGTGAGATCCAGACATTTTTCCTATTTCAAACCATAATACTTTGTGAGATCATTGCAACGTTGCCATATTGTTTATAGACAATATAGTAAGTACTGACCGATAATATACTAGCTACATATTATTTGTTTAACATAATTTTATATTGATATAACGCTGTGGGATCTCCAATATTACAATATTTTCATACAACTGATCCAATACATTATTAACTTAAGGTTCTAATACTTTTTAAAGTGAGCTTAGATATGGTTTTTATATCATAGGTGGAGCCAGAAATGTTGTCAGTGTATGCAGAATTTAAATTAGCACACCACAATTACGTGGAAATACGTATGAAATATAGTTTAAAATTAGGTAATGAAAACGGGCCGCTGCGCGTAGCTACCTAAACTTTTCCTTGTATTGTATGTACCAGGTATAGGTCCACTTTATAAAATACCCGTATTAGATAAACATCAATAATTCTCGAAACAGTCAAAACATTACAAGAAATTGACGACCCACATCATTCTCCAATAAACTATTTCTATAGGTAGCTATTATTAATATATTTGAATTTTTGCCGTGTAAACAAGGCAATTGTCGTAGAATCATTTACTTCATGTTTGAATTTCGTTATCGAACGACGCACAGTGGTATATACTGCAATTTTAAGCGGACAAAAGTATTATTTTAAAATATTTTTAGAAAGGTTGAGAGTATTATATAACTGTTGTATATACCTTCTACAGCTTCATAAACTGTACAATAAAAATATTAGTAAGTGATAACAAGATGAACTGCAGCTCTTAAGTCAATATTTTGGGAATTATTTATACATAATAATTGGCTATCGGATCTCGTAAAGGCGTAACAAATGTAAGTATTCTGCTCTTATCTATGGACTATGCGGATCTCACAAAGTACATACCAACTGCACTCTGTAGTCAATATTTTGGGAATTATCTATGCATAATAATTGGCTATCGGATCTCGTAAAGG